TGTGTGTGTGTGTGTGTGTGTGTGTGTGTGTGTGTGTGTGTGTGTGTATGTTAACAAGGGGAGGATCTGCAGAAATCAGCAGCAGGTATTTTTGACAACAAGGTGATGAACAGGTTCATTGCCCGGGTTCATTGCTCAATGTTGGTTCAATGCCCAACGAACAACAGAAAGAGGTTGAAAAATGGATGGGACGGTGCTTTAGCCCTCTACCATGGTCCTGAAGAATTCATTATGGTTTGGATTTGATATGGTGACATCCTTTAATTTCATCCATCCATCCATCCATCCACCTATATATCTACTTATCAACCTCCCTCCCTCTCTACCTACCTACCTATCTTCTTACCTACCTATAATCTATGTCTCTCACTATCTCTCTTTCTCTCTCTCTCCCTCCCTCCCCCACCTCTCCATCTATCCAACCATCCAATTTTGACATTGCTCCATACATTCAACGTTCGGTCACCTAATGTTGTCACCAAGGGTCCCCTTTTCCAAGATTGTGCCAAAGGTGTCCTTGCGATTTCACCTTGTAACCAACTTCAGCTATAATAACATGTCTAAGGCCAAAGCCAAAATCTTGATGTGCCAAATCTTTGGATCTCAATGTGCTGGCACCAAAAAAAAAAAGGGGGGGGGGGTGGAATTCTGGAAACATCTCCCAAAACCATGAAGAGGAAGAGTTGTCCTTAGTATACCTTTTAAAGATGGATATATCTTTTTCTTAAAAAAAGAAACCCCCGCCAAAAATACCCTACCATCCGATTATGCTTTTCATGGTTTCTATACCACCGTATCTGCCAAAGGTTTATCCACCTATTCCGCTTAAAAGATTCGTGTCCCACAGTCTAAAGCTAAAGGAAATTAAACTTAATGGCTGACTGTGCATTTAATCCCGGTCGGTCTTTTCAACATCCAGTGTGCTAGTGATCATATCCTACTGCCTGTCATATTCTATCAAAACAGTTTCATCCTAATCTCTTTTTTTTTTCCCCTGCAGAAATGAGCTTAAAAAATATTTTCTTTTTAGGTGGAACTCCCTTTTTTAAATTTCCTAATGCTTTCTAAAATCAGATCTCTGCTTGAGGGGGGAGGGTGGTAGTTGTATAACCTTTATTGTTAAATAGCTTTACTAAATAAAACCTTCCCGATGATCCATAAAGAACTGTTCTTACTGGGGCTTATGGATTTATCACTCAAGGAAGAGGGGGAACGTAGACTTGCATTTGGAGCTGCTACCATACTGTAGCTTCCTACTAATAGTTTTTTTTAATTTGCCCAGTTCTCACCTTGAATGGCTTGATTTAGCTTGGATTAATTATTCAAATATAACCAGCAATGCAGAAAAAATGTGACTCAGAGGCCCTTGTAATAGGAATACGGCTGCAAAAACTTTCAGTCATTTTCCGATGGCAAAGTGATAGGACAATGTTAATGTCAAATACCCAATCATTTATTGAGGAAAAATCTCTACCAATTTTATGGAAGGAAGATGCCAAATCAACCCATAGAAAAGAAATTGCCTTCAAAGCTGTGGAAGCATCATCTCTGGAAGCTTCCAAGAAGAGACTGGACTGCCATTTGTCAGAAGGGTCTCCTGCTTGGGTGGGGGTTTGGACTAGATGACCTACAAGGTCCCTTCCAACTCAGTTAGCAAGAATAAAACTGAAAGGATAAACCTTCAATATATCATTAATCCATCCAGGGTTTGTTCGTTTTTTTAATTCCCTAGTTAGCCAGTTGAAAGATTTGAACCCAAAATTGATTCTCACTCTTCCACTCTGGCAGAAATCATCGTATTCAGAAATGCTAGCAGTCTTCCAATGTCTGATGGGCTGTTACAGTAAAGATGGGGTGGAACTATTCTTCAAAAGATTTGAGGATGAGACAAGAAGTGATGGTTGGATGGTTAGAATCTAAGAGAGATCCAACCTTGATCTAAGGAGAAATTTCCTGAAAGTGAGAATACTTAATCAATGTAATGGCTTGCCTCCAGAATTGGTGGGTACTTTATCACTGGAGGTTTTCAAGAGGACATTGGACAGCCATTTTTCCAGGATGGTATAAGGTCTTCTGCTTGAGCAGAAGATTAGACTAGAAGACCTCCAAGATACTTCCAACTCTCTTATTCCGTATTCTGTCTTTATTGTTGACATCTATAACTATATTTATCTATCCCAGTATCACCTTTATCCAGATATCTTGATTAATCAAGATAAATCTTGAAAGCACTAAGGAGGGATAACTCTAATTAAATCTTGGTTGGAAGACTGCCAGAAATTGATTGGGTTCCAGATAGACCAGAAAGTCTGGAAGAAAACATGTGACAAACCATTTCTGTATAGTTGGCAAGAAAATTGCATTTTTGGGGTCCATAAGTCAACAGGAGTTGAATTGAATTCAAAGGAAACCTTAAGTTTCTTCATTTCTGGATCCAAATTCAGGATCCAAACAAGGAACTATTTTTTTATCAGTTTTTCAATATCTGCTTCATCGTTTGAATGTAGCTAAAATAAACTCTCCATTCTGTAGCAAACCCATCGATGTTTCACGCTGGTCTGCTTTTTAGAACTTTCTTCAGACGCAAAATATTCTCCTGGCATGGTAGACAGTGTGAAATTGCTCCTCTCTTACTACTTCCCATCGGGCAGATCCCACATCGAGAAGAAATTTCCGTGGATATGCCAGTTTCAGAAAAAGGATTCCAGTCTGCACCACACAGGGTGCTCAAATACTACAAGGATGCAGGCTGGAAGCAGTCTCATTACCTTCAAAGACCATTTGATGGCATTCAATACTGCATTTAACGTGCTGTATTTTTGGTCTCGTTGTGTGTTTATTAAACCAGATGGGAATAGCAACAAGGATTAAATAGTGGAACCAGTGCAAAGTCCACCTCTGAAATCAAAACAGGGGAATTATCAACTTTGCATGACTGTTGAGTAAAATGTGCTTGTAAGTCAAGAGTTTCTTACTAGCTTGCCTTATAGGGTTGGAGATTTCTCTGCTGAGAATTAGAGGAATACACACACACAAAGAGTGTTGATTCATTCATCTCTTTATTGGTCATATTTTTTTGAAAAAATCTTTTCCAGATGATTTAGAAACCTTGTCATCCACAATTTATTCTGAATACACCGGTTTCATGAATTCTGGAAGGTGTTAGTCTGGGGAGAGTAAATATTTACGACCAACCAGTCTGTCTAAAACTTTCAGCTAAATTTTTCCAGCAGATCTTCTTCCAAGGAATACATTTCCTCAAATTACACAATTAAAACATGCCAGCAAAGCCCAACCTACATCCTTGCAATAAAATTCCAATCCAACCCACACACCTGCATTGCAGGGTTTACTTCTTATGAATTGTGTCTCTTGTCAATTGAGCAGAGCTAGCTAATTTGTACAGCTTTATCCATTTCATTGTGTGTGTGTGTGTGTGCTCTGAATGGGAGGAATATTAATTAATTGTTTACAGTAAATTTACAGAGCTTGTAGGGAAGAGCACAATTTTGCTTTGGATTGATAAGCTTTTTTGCAGGTTGGAGGGTTTGGACTAGTGATCGCATCAAATTAATAATCATAATTTTCATATGGATGGAGATAGGCAGACTGATACTGTAGACTGGATGGATGGATGGATGATGGATGGATGGATAGATAGACAGACAGATGATAGATAGACAGTCAGGTAGACACAAAGATAGATAGATACTGTAGATAGATAGAAATAGATGATAGATGGATAAATGGATAGATTAGATAAAATAGATAAATTAGATTAGATAGATAGATAGATGAATGATAGAAGATAGATAGATGGATGAATGAATGGATAATAGATAGATAGATAGATAGATAGATAGATAGATAGATAGATAGATAGAGGGATAAATAGCTAGAGAAATGGCTAGATAAAGTTGATGCATGCATGCATGCATGGATGAGAGAGAGAGACAGAGACAGAGACAGAGAGAGACAGAGAGACAGAGAGACAGACAGAGATAGATAAATAGATGGATAGATAGATAGATACAGTAGATAGATGTTATTTTCACAGGAAAAGAGTTTTATGAAATTCCAAATATAGCATCTGGCTGGTAGGAGGCTAGACCTTGAGATAAGATCATCCACATGGAATTCTTCCCCAGGGGATCTTGGGATGTGACATTTAGTGAGGAGCAAGGGAGATATTTCATAGGAATCCCCAACAACAACACCAGATGGCTTTCTGCTCAGTTGTTGGTCTTCCTTGGAAGCTGTTGGCCAGATCTTTAGCTGGAAAGGCTCTTGATTTGTTTTTGCAGAACTGGCCTCATGTTCTTCAATGGTCAAGATGCTTCAGGGACCATACAAATAAATACACAGGCCAAAACTGCCAATTCTGCTTCTATTGAACCAGACAGCTCACGGGGCATTGCATATTCCTAGAAACCTTTGCCATTGTTATCTCCTCTTCCTAGAAGGGACTCTCTGTGAGCAAGAAATATATATTTGCTTCCAAGCAGTTCAGGGGATGAAGAGCAATGAATTTAATATTGTCTTCCCAAAGATGACAATATTAAATTCATTGCTCTTCCTGCCCCGAACTCCATTAGGAAGGAAACGGTTGTATTGCGTCTTATTGTAAGTGATGGAAATCCTTCAGCTAAAGGAGTGGCTTAATGAAAAGGAATGAGCTAATGCCCTTTAATGGTTCTCATTTTAAGATAGGGCTGTATTTTCATTGCTGTTGGAATGCTTTTGACGTCTTTAAGAAGATTCAACGAGTTGTGCCTTTTAGCCCAGATAGATATAGATAGACGTTATTGTAGGAGAAGGAATGGCAGAGCCATTCTGGGTGTGGAGTGAAAAGAGGGATTAGCTTAGAATCCTTACATAGCCACAAGCAAACTAAGTCCAACCCCTCTTGAGGACCTTTGACCCCGATCACCCTAAGGAGCAACTGATATCCACTAAAATGGCAGGATTCTAACATTATTTTGGCTTTTTCCCTTTTCTGCCCCCCAGGGTGAATGTTCCCAAAAGTGCTACTACATCTTCATCGTAGAGACCATCTGTGTCGCCTGGTTCTCCCTGGAATTTTGCCTTCGGTTCATCCAAGCCAAGAGCAAGTGTCAGTTCTTCAAAGGTCCTTTGAACGTCATCGACTTCCTGGCCATCTCTCCTTATTACATCTCCCTCATCATGGGGGACGATGAAGTTTTGGAGAACGACCACCGTCCGAGCGGGAGCTCTTATTTTGAGAAGGTGGGTTTGGTGCTACGGGTCTTACGGGCGCTGAGGATACTGTACGTCATGCGACTCGCGAGACACTCGCTGGGCTTACAAACCATCGGCCTCACCGTGCAGAGGTGCGCTCGTGAATTTGGCCTCCTGATGCTCTTCCTGTGTGTGGCCATCACTCTGTTTTCTCCCCTGGTCTACCTTGCGGAAAACGAATCTGGCAAGGTCCTGGAGTTTACCAGCATCCCGGCCTCCTATTGGTGGGCGATCATCTCCATGACTACGGTGGGGTACGGGGACATGGTCCCGAGGAGCGTTCCAGGCCAGATGGTGGCTCTCAGTAGCATCTTGAGCGGGATTCTAATTATGGCCTTTCCAGCTACCTCCATCTTCCATACCTTCTCCCATTCCTATGCGGAGCTGAGGAAACGGCACAAGCGACTCCACGCTCAACTCACGAGAATCAAAAGTGCCAACACGATCAGCGAAAGGGACACCTTCAACGAGAGCGAGAGCTTTGCTTCAGACGATAGCGAATACCCCATCAAGTACATTTTCAAAGGATAAGGCTCTTCTTGGCCACGGAACGTGGACTTCAAAGCTACCACCACGGCCACCACCACCACCACCGTTTTGCTGGGTGTCCCTCCCAAAGATGATAGGTAGTCTCCAGCTCTTGCAATCCATCCTTCCAATCAACAGCTTTTTGCTGAGATGCAACCACGGATGTTTGAGGGAGCCCAGGCAGAAATGGACAAGATTAAAAATCCAAAGAGTAGAATGGAGACTATCAAATCCCGTTGCTGTCTTCAGCATGGAATAAGAAACCTGACAGTTGGGCCTATCAAGCGGTGGTCCTAAGACAGCCTTTTAGTAAATTGGGAATTTGCAGAGGATAGAGTTATAAGTCCCATCTTCTCCGTTGGACTGTGTTAGAGACGATAGAAGTTTGAGTCCTGAGCTTTCAGTTTTTGCCAGAGCAAAAATGCTGCACTAAACTGTCACAAAACATTGCTAACCAAACCAATTTGAAATATCCTTCCTAAAAGGGAGCTTACGCAGACAAAATAAAAGTGTTTTTAAACGTGTGCTGATAGAATCTTCCTTTTCTCCATTTTGCACACACATTTTGCACCCACACAGATTAGAAGCTCGATCAAATATGCCTCTATTTTCACCCATGTTTTCTATCAATTTCTTGATGGAGGAACAGAGTTCCAGTGGCTGATGTAAAACACACTTTGCATGTGAATTGCAAATAATTTAGTTCAAAGGACCCCCTCTCACTACTGAAGTCACTACAGAAGACTTCTATTTTTGAAAACATCATTGTAGGTTTTTTTTTTAAAATTGGCTGGCAACCATTTGAATGGGATGGTCTAATCTCCTGACTTGAGCAAGAGATTAGACTAGATGACCTCTGAGGTTCCTTCCAGCCCTATGGTTCTATCTTCTGGGTTCTATGATTAAAGATAAACCGGTCAGAAGCCATTTTAAAGTTGTTTGAGGTTTCTTCTTGCATTGTTCAGTCCAGCCAGCTGAGTGCTGGTTTATCCTTCCTTTTCTTCTGTTTCATCTTTCATGTGCTTTCTTTCTGCGTGTATATTTTTTCCCCGTTCCGAAAAGGAAGCAATATGTTGAAAAGAACACTTTGTACTTATGTGATTTTATTCTGTCTGTCTGATGGTACAGGCAGTCGTAATCAGCAACTATTGGGTCAGCAAAAAACCACAGTTCACATCATTTCATCCTCAGGCTTAATTAAAAGAACAGTTTTTGGCATCTTGGCAATCTGCCCGAGTTTGTCGGTTTGCATTGTTGCATCGCTTCAAAGAGACTTTATGTGTTAACATGGATTTTTTAAAAAAAGAAAAAAGAAAGAAACTACAGCATGGTCCTAAAAGAGTCTATTGCTTCTTATCTTTTAAACTTGGTTGCCTCATTGCAGAAGTCATTGGGGCTCAACACTACTAACCACTATTAGGCCAGGGTCACACATTGCACTAAGCCAGTATTCATAGTTTACAAACCCACATGGATTTCCTCAGCGTGCTGAGCCAGATTATTTCTGGGGTTTTCAAAAATGTTCTGGGGTTTTCCAAAGCTTGGGACAATTTTGGGGTAAAAAACATGAGGTAACACATCCTGGTTTTCAGATGTCCACCATTTTGGATCAGAAAGAGATCATACAAAGAAGCTTTGATAAAATTTAGCCTTCCTGGTGCTGGTTTGTAAAATGGCAGTGGACCCAATGATTAACTAAGCCCGGTTACTTAACTTTATTGAGCACTCCTGAGAATTAAAAAGGAAACAAAACAGATGGGTTGAATTACTGTAATTATTGTATCTCTTCCTTTGTGCAGAAGAAATTTCAGACTCCCGCTGTTTTGTAATGAAGCTGAAAGTTTCCGATTTCAGTGGAATCGATGGGGGAAGGTAGCATTTCAAACCGGGATCTCTGGACTGCCAAAAATCTTTCAGTGGAGCCTGGCCAAGATCAAGCTAGATTGGAACATTCAAGTTAACATAGGAAGATGTTCTTCAAGAGGTCACTTGGAGCTGATGGGAAGCTGATGGAGATAGAAGCTCACCATCTTGCTAAGTTCCCCCTCTGATGACAAGGACTTTGGAGATCTAAAGAGTTCCGCCCAAAGACACCAGGAACAGAAGGGCTACCAACAGGACATTGAGAAGGAGAAGGAAAATGCATTAAGATTGTTCTAATAAGATACAGAGTAGTTTTTAATATGAACGTAATCATAGCAAGACATGTATACTAAATATAAATATTTGCACACGATATATGTACCCATTCAACACACTGTATAATTGGAAGATGGATTTGTTGTAAAATAAAAGATGTTTCAAAAAAGAGAACGAGAAGAAGGAGAAGGAGGAGGAGGAGGAGGAAAAAGAGAAGGAGAAAAAGGAGAAGTAGGAAAAGGAGAAGGAGATCAATCTAGTTTATCTGTATTGTGTCGAGCAACCTGGAAGTGGGGAGAACTGGCTTTTTATGGACTTCAAAATAAGATCATTGAAATCTGGTTATATGGACAACTGCATCATCTCTGGTGGAATTCTCCAGTCATGGTTTCTGTAAATACGACTTATCCTCCATTTTTTATCCTGCCCGCTCCATTGCATTCTTCTCTTTTGTTTCCAGATGTGTCCAAGAGGGAGGGCTGAATTAAAGGGATGTGGCAACCTGGGGGCCCTCTCTTCATCAACTTCCACCGCTGGTGGGCATGGAATCTCTCTTGAAATCCTGACAATGAAACAAAACGCCTCTTTCCTGAAAAACAGCCCATGAATCTGGTCAAGGACAAACTGAAAATCAGATAAGCCTTGGGGAAGGAAGGTCAAAATTTAATCCCCCCTCAGAAATCCCCAAAATCCTTCAAATCTCCCAGCTGGAAGTGGTTTCAGAGCCAAAAATATGTGTGTGTATTTCTGTTTCGTCCATCTGCCTGTCTGTCGCCATCTTCTGTTTGCAGGGACAATCTCTGTTTTTTCTCAACTGCAACAATTCTTCTTTTTCTCTATCTCCTTCTTGGGCAAGATGAGGGTTGCCAGCCTTCAGAAGAGTTGAGCTCTGACCTTGAGAAGGAAGTGGGCAAGGAGGCACCATTACTCAGCCTAGGAAAGTTTTTTTTTAAAAAAAAGGCAGGAGAAAGAGCCTCCACACAGTTCTGCCTTGAAATTGTCCTCGAGGACAAGGTCTTCAGAGGCTTTCAAGACTCTGTTATGCACCCTATAATTTCTGGAATCTTGGCAGTCTCTGTTTCTTAACTTGGCCCCCGTTGAAGACCTGACCCAACAGAGTTTGGAAGGCAACCAAGCTTTTCTTTGGTCAATTATTTCTATATTGTTCATCTCATTTGAAGATATTCCGGTGCCCCGAAGTTTTGACAGATCAAATCAAGATAAAATAGGTTCCAAGCAGGGGTGGGATTCAAATTTCTTAACAACTGGTTTTGTGGGTGTGGCCTAATTTGTCGGTGTGATCTGGTGGCCATGTGACTGGGTGGGTGTGGCATGCTGACTGGGTGTGGCTTGGGGTCACGTGACTGGCTGGGCGCGGCTTTTATGTAAATATTGTAAATATTCATGTAAATATGGATTTTTTTTATTTAAAAAAAGAGCAACTTTTACCCCAAATCAGGCAAAGCAGGCAGGCAGATTGAGTTGCTTGCAGAATCACAGGTTCATTCGCAGATCTATCTTTCTGCAATCTGCTGCCTGAATCTGCACTGAAAAATAGAAGTTTCGGTCGTAAGGAAGGTTCAGCTCTGATTTCAGGCCACTTCTTTCCCCCCACCCCCAACCCACTGAATACCACCCCTGACTGGGCCTCAGGGAAGCCTTCTGGGCAAAGGCAAAGCAGTTCAACAGCGATTTAGATTAGCAGAAATCCGATGGTTTCCTGCTTTCTAGCTAATCTAAATCACTTGTAACAGTTGATCATCGGAACAGCTGATCGTCAAAATAAAAGGAAAAACAACAACTTATCAAAAATTAGGCGAACGACGCAAGCAAGTTGGATGGCACGCATGCAAGATAAGGAGTCACTGGGTAGGGCGGGGCGGGTGGGGAGGGGCGGGGCCAGCCAGTGGCACGATTTACCGGTTCTTTGAACTGTGTAGAATCGTAACAACTGGTTCTATAGAACCGATCCGAAATGGTAGAATCCCACCCCTGGTTCCAAGACTGGGGGAAGTCCCTCATAACTTTGAATAGTTGCCAAGTGGCCGGTTGTAAGGCTAAAATGACCTGTAATCTCACAATGAATGCAAGTTTGACTTTGTTGTTTTTTGGGGGATGAGTGAGTAATAAAACTCACCCCTAGTTCTGCCATTGGCACTGTGAAGCTATAGAGCTAACAAGACCCCAGTAGCTTCTACTGGTTTTATTACTTCCCTGTTGAGCACAGCTGGGGGTTAGTAACCAACATTTCCTATTAATTACTCCTTGAATAGCCTTTCTAAATCCGTCTGATCCCTCTTTTGGTTCCCAGGGTGGGGAGAAGCTTCAGCGGGTTGAATCCATTGTTTTTGTCCCCTTTAATCTCGAACTGCAAGAAAAATCCAATTTTGCTGTGGACAAACATCACAGGAATCAAAGGGGAAGGAAACCACCCATTAAACCGATGGACAAATCATCATTTGTAATGAGCGACTGCTTCAAGCAAGGATGTAAGTAGGGTGGACATCTTTGACCAGTGGCCCTGAGTTTCATATGACCTCTAACCCTGCTTTTTCTTGGGAGAGGCCTCAGAGGTGCTCAAACTGCTGGAAAATGGTGTTTTTTCCCACCATCCCCGGCAGGAAATGCATGGAGACAGTGATGTAATCTAGGGTTCCTCTGGGGTGAGAAGCAAAGAAACACCTAGATTGGCAGAGAGAGAAAAAGTATAAAGTAGTTTTCTGTGCCATAAGCAAATGAGCATCTTTGTACTTTGGGATTTCTATTGAACATGAAGCCACTAGGATTTTTCCACAAATTTGCCAGGAGTCTTGAAAAAAATGTGGCTAAACTAACTTCCTTCTTTCCTCCCTCCCTCCCTTTCT